AATATTACATGTTAATAACTTGATTGGAATTATAACCTTGAATTGACAGTTTGATACTTTGAAAATTTTGAGCCAGCCCTACCCCCAAGGGCTGTAGGGTGGGGCTCAAAGGAGTCAGTGTGCTAAAATTTCTTCATTTTCCTTGTTAAGAATCAAAGGTGCTAGTTTCAAATCCTTTTTAGTCTGAAATCTGTATGCTAGATATTGAGTAAGGTGGTTTTATTGTTTTTTGTCACTTTGAATAATATTTCTGTTCATGTTAAAAACAAAAATCAACTCTCTGTATAAATATATCAGGTGACCGTTAAGGCCCATGGGCCTCTTGTCTTGTTTATATGTCACACAAAAAAACCAAGTAGCAGCTAACATGTCTGTGTAATTCCTGGAATGTTTTACATGGTGCTTCGATACACGCCCTCCTGGTAAAAATTCATATACTGCTTTTCTTGCAAGTTCTGCACAAACAGGATAAGATCTCGCTGCCTCCTGATATAACATTGCTGTGGGGTTTAGCTTTCATCAGATAAGCTGATCATGTCATTATAGCCCAGTAATACACAGAATTGACACTGCTCCCACACGTTTGTCAGGTTCACGGCAAGGAAGCAACATAGTTTTGCATACATCCGTCTCCTCCCAAGAATCTTTGTACTGCCATGTAGAAGCCTCATCGTTGGAAGACAATTTTTTTTATTTACATGTACACAAAACTCACTTGGCATAGTTCATGATTAAGGTGTTAAAGTTTCTATTCCGGGGGGAAATGTGTGGGGTTATGCTCAGGTTCTAGATCATTGCTAAGAATCTGAGTTGTCAATTATTTAAGGATATAACATTACTGTAAGGATATATCATTACTGTAAGAATTGTATCTCCATTCCGAGAGAGTTCCACATTACGACATGTTTACTAATGGTAATTTCGCCCTTAGTCAATTCATTGAAGTAAAGTTCAGACGGGTGTACAGTCTGTATATGAAATTCACAACAAGGGAAGTAACTCTAACACAAATCACAGATATGATGTGCAATGTAGCACCTAGCATTAGTGCTTTAATTGCTTTTACTGAATAACTGAGATTTTATCAAATATGTTTTTTTTGTGTCCTTTCATCTTTGTTACTAATATAAGAATATCCTCAAAAAGAAGAAGAAATCCAGATTTTATTTAATTAATTTTAATCCAAAGTTTGTCTAGAGGAGGGAATTAACCTTGTAAATATGATGGTTCTGATGATAGCATCACAGGCTTTCTAAAGAAATGAAGACTTTCATGGTACCAAAAGTAGAAATGTGCAAGTTCCAACAGTTTCGAAAATGAGCTGCTTTACCTGGATACAATGTACATCAATAATGTACCTGTTACATTTTCAGCTCTCTTGGCCCAAAATTAATTACCTTGTTTGACTTTCAAGGTCACAGGGGTCGATGTGTTTAAATCTTTTAACCTTTTAACAGGTGTTTTTCAATGACTGAGTCAAAGATACTGATAATTTGCCTGAAGCTTTATTTTAGGTCACTTAATGTTACAAGTGTGAGACTAATACCAGATGAGCAATGCTGGCCCATTGAGCCTCTTGTTACAGAAAGTTACAATCCAGCTGCTTCCCAGAAAAAATGTATTTGAGAATATTGTAGGGGGGTTTAGAATCAAGATTATCAGTAAAACACTGTCTTGTAGAAACATTCGCGCTGGTATTGATTTTCATTGATTATACAAAACTTTTTGTGTCAGTACAACCTTTACCTAATTGATCTGTTTCCTCCGTACTCTTGTATTAATTGATCAGTCTTCTTTGAACTCTTGTATTAATTGATCAGTCTTCTTTGAACTCTTGTATTAATTGATCAGTCTTCTTTGAACTCTTGTATTAATTGATCTGTTTCCTACCTACTCTTGTATTAATTGATCTGTTTCCTCCGTACTCTTGTATTAATTGATCTGTTTCCTACCTACTCTTGTATTAATTGATCTGTTTCCTACCTACTCTTGAATTAATTAATGTTCCTTCCTTTAGGGTTTGTCTACACATCAGGGGTCTGTACTTACGACCTGGATTGTTTGGTTTACAGGTCGTGTTCCTGTAATAGTGGTTGTTTGTACTTACCACCCGGATTGTTTGGTTTACAGGTCGTGTTCCTGTAATAGTGGTTGTCTGTACTTACGACCTGGATTGTTTGGTTTACAGGTCGGGTTCCTGTAATAGTGGTTGTCTGTACTTAC